TTTTTTTTTTTTTTTTGTTTTATTTGTAACAATTACCTATTTTAGATATTTACAATGAAAGACTGATATTTTATTTTATTCCAAATTTAAATTTGATTGATTTTTGTATAATATAAATTTATGATATCTTTATGAGAGTATCCTTTTTTAAGATAGCTAGAAATGTATATTATACTTGCTGTGTATTCTTACCAAAGTTATTATATTGATCGTGTTTTTTCATCCAAGGAGGAGCAGACCAAGCAGATGTCTCGAAACGTAACGATGGACTGAGGTCTAAAGCTTGCTTCATTAATGGCATTTTATAAACAAAATCTTCCTTAGCTAACATAAAGTTTTCAAGTTCAGTATCACCAGGACTGTCATCATAAGTGTAAGGACGTGTAGAAAAATCAGTTCCAGCTATTGGTACGCGTCCAAGGTTATACTTAATCCCATCATTACTGAAGTAAGATCTAGATCATTGATATCAGTTATGACAAAGTTTGATAAATGAATTATTATGAAAAATTGTATAAGTTGTAGTATTAAAAATTGGGGACTATAAAATTCTAGTATTCAATATACGTTACTTCATTATGTGATCTTGACATCCTTTACTAAGCTTTTTAATATTAATTCCTGCTGAATCTGTGAACGCTCCACCGAAGCCTTCTATACTTTGATGCTGAGTATTAGAATCAATTTTTATGTTGTAGGTATTTTCAGCGTGATTTGAAATGATTCCACCAAAGCGCTTTAATCGTTCACCACTTTTACTCGAAACATACCAAATAAACTCGCCTTTTTTGGGCGATGCAGGATCAGAGTAATAATCACAATATGTAGAGTTACACTGACATACTGTAGAATCACTTCCAAAATCTACTGGTATACAATCTTGAGCTAACACTAAAATTTTATCAATATTAAATTACTACGAATTCTAGTTTAACGGTAAAACTTTTCTTAACCTGTTCTAGCTCAGACACGTCGTTAGAGTAAGCTATTATTAATTTAATTGATAAAAAAAATTTCAATGGACAGATGCAATACAATTACCAATAACCTTATGGTTTCTCGAAATGTATAAAAATTTATAATTGGTTTTTTAGATTCACAGCATGTATTTACAATTTCCTTCCTTAAAATTTTTTTCCTTAAGAATACAGCTCACTGAAAGTCATTAATTTTTTACTATTTGGCTCTTGGCAAATTGGTAAAAATGATTTTCACGTAGAGTAGTGGTTAATAAATAAAAAGCATTTTACATAAATAATAACTTTATTATACAAGTAAAAAATTACTTTCTATTTAAATTGTACAAAAGTATATATGATAAACGATTTTATAACATTATTAATGTACAAAAATATTTCTCTAAGAAAAATCATTAGTTAAATAAATATGTTAACAAAACAAAGAAAAGTACAATACACATTTACTTCATATTTTTATTAATTTTTGTATAAAATGGTATGAATAGAAGCTGGGGGGAGCACCAAATTTATACTTCCCACTTTTTTATCAGATATGGTGACACTCTTCTTTTTATCGCTCCTAGAATGTAAACTAAGTTATTTTTGCGTCTTCAGTTTAAAGTAAACTTAAAAATCAAAATGAAAAACTTACGTATTGTACAATAGAGCTACTATTTCACCATTTGTGGTTTTAAAAGCTGTAGATAAAACTATATCATCTGATGAGCTTGTATTGATTCTAACCGAGGATCGTGGCACAAATTTACTGAAATGTGCAAAGGCATAAAACATGGGTTGCTTGTAGAATACATCTTTGTCTGGGTCAACAATTATAAATGCATCTACAAAATTATTGACCCAATTTGGTCCTCCTTGCTTATCCAGAGCCAGATTCCAATCAATCCAGCCAACAATCCAATGGTTAAAATTCTAGTACAAATAAAAATCCAAAAATACATCAATCAAGTAAAGTTTTACATGGTTAAATTTCAATAGCAACGTATGTATTTCAATTACTTCAAATAATTTTTTGACCAATTGTTCTGCTCGTGACCAAGATCCCAAAATAACTTTAGGATTCTCATCACGACCAGCACCTGCAAAAAAATTTTTATAAAAAATTTGTTTTCTAATTTAAAAATGATTAACATAACATTAGTTACATAAAGATAAAGTGTTTGTATTT